TCTCTCTTCCTGCGTTTTCTCTCTCTTCAATGGGTTTCTTTGCTCTTGTATTATTGAATTTGTTCTTCAACGTTCATTGCTAGTGATTTAAAGATAAGTTAGTAATTTGATTTTGTTTTCCTTTGTTCTTTTTATTCAATTCGGGTTTTTGTTTTGACTTTTTATTATTTTTATTTTGAATTAGGGTTTCTTTCTAAGTTTTGTGGGATTAATTTGCGTTTCTCATTTATTTAATAAGATTAATGGTTTCGTTTGATATACATGTGTATTTTTAATTCAATACGTCCCTAATTCAATTCCTCCCTCATATTATTCGTTTGATTTATATATGATTCGATTTTCTTATTCTAAATTTGTTCGATTGAGTTTTCAGTTTGATATACCTGAATTTGAATTTTATGTTCTTTATATTGTTTGATTCTCTAAGTTAGTGTGTTGTAATTGTTAGGCATATGGATTGTGTTTGAGGCCTTCGAAAATCTTAGCTATCTGAGCAACTAAGAACCATCTAAAACCCCCAGTGAGTGTGCATATAAAGTTTATAGATGACTTTATTTACTTTTTATATGGTTTGGTTTACTTTTGAGTAATTTTATTTACTATGCAGGACAATGTACCTGCTTCTTCATATAACCGCATTCAAAGTTTTATATGCTGCTGCATAGTATCTGCATCTATATACTTACATTGGATTTTATTTCTTTGGTTGGGATTTTTTTCCTTTTTTTTTTTTGCTAGATGAGCCTTTTAATTAGATGTTTTTCTGTAAGTTTTTAGTTTTTTTTTTTATTTTTTTTTTTGTAGATTTTGATTGATTGAGCTTCAATGCACTGAGATTAAGATCTCGTAAGAACCATCTTTTGTATTATTGGGTTGTTGTTGGTTAGAAGAGTATACAGTGTGTGACGTTAGGGTGGTTGGGCTTGGTATTTGGTTATGTCTATGTGTGTTGCTGGCAGTTGCGTTATGGAACTTTTTGTGTGGGGCTGTTGTTGGATAGAAATAGTAAGGTATTACTGTGTTGAAACAAAATGATTCAGATTACCCTGCAGTTCCCTCCTTTCTTTTCCTTCCTGCCATGTTTGTAACCCTAGTCATGGAAAGCTTGTGTTGGGCTATGGGTCCCTTCCTATGTGGAGAAAGCCCATTTTGATGTTGTGTTAGCTTTTGGGGCAACTAGTTAAGTTTTAGTCCAAGTGATGTTAGAGCTTCTTTGAGAAGGTACTACTTGTTGACTTTGTGGTGCTTTTTCCGTGGGAATTGGATGAGCAAAAAAGCCTTAAAAATACATTTACTTGCTGCCAGCAATTGTGAGTAAATGTGAGAGGGAAGTAGTTGGGAAGAGGAGTGAAAAACACAGAGAGTTTCAAAGTTCAGCCATTTCACGTTCTTCGTTGCACAGCTCCAGAAATCAGCCCAGATCGAAGCTCATCCGTGGTACAATTTGGCTCAAATTTTGACAGCTTGTCCGGGACACCTAGGGCTTTGTTTACAATGGGCAGATTGTCTTTTGCTGCTACTGTTCGTGAGTTACAGCCTCTGGACAGAACTCTGTTTTTCTAGTGATATTCTTCCATTTTTTCCTTCATTACTTTGTTCTTATGATTGTTGTTGTTTAGGTAAATTGAGTACCCAACAATTAGACTTGGAATTGTGCTTGTGTAACATTTCTTTCATCAATAAGAACAATTTGGGTGGACTCCTAAAGTCCCGTGGTTTTTTACTCTTCACATCAAAGAGGTTTTCCACGAAAAAATCGTGTATCCTTGCTTGGTTGATTATGCTCGTTATTTGCCATATATTTCTGCCTTTGGTGTGTTAATATAGCAGGTTGTGTGTTGATCTTGGAGATATATCATATAGCTTGGTTTAAGTGTGACCTTTGAACAAACTAGTAGCTTGTGTGTGGTTGTGGTTTGTTTGTTTGGTCGATTGATTATTCCGCAAGAGGTATGTTTATCCTCAACAATCTGGTATCAGAGCCATGGCTTTATTATTGAGTTCTTGGGATGGAATCTCGCAATATTAACACTAATAGAATGGTTAGTTTGAATGGAACTAACTCTCATCTTTGGAAGAGAAAGATGAGAGATTTGTTCTATGTCAAGAGTTGGCATTTACCTGTGTTTAGTACTGAAAAACCAGAAGTTAAGAGTGATGAGAAATGGAAATTTGAACATGAGCAAGTTTGTGGGTTCATTCGTCAATGGGTTGATGATAATGTCTTAAATCACATAAATGATGATGTGCGTGCAAAGTCCCTTTGGGAGGAGCTTGAATCTTGTATGGTAGTAAGACTGGCAATAATAAATTGTACTTGATTAAGCAATTGATGGGCTTGAAGTACAGAGAAAGCAAGATACATTCAGATCACTTGAATGATTTTCATGGCATTCTCCAACAGTTGTAAGCCATGGGAATCAAGTTTGGTGATGAAATTCAGGGACTTATATTGCTTTGTACTCTTCCTGATTCATGGGACACTTTCAGAATGACACTTTGTAACTCTACACCACAAGGCAAAATCACGTTGGATCTTGCTAAGGTTGGTATCTTGAATGAGGAGATGAGAAAGAAATCTCATGGTGTGTCATTTCGTCCGATGAAGCATATGTTGATGATAACAGAAGAAGAAGCAAGATCAAGGCTCCGAGTGGCAGAGATAAATGCAGGAGAAAGTCCCGTGGAGATACAAAAACATGAAATGCAACTACTGTGATAAAATGGGTCACATTTAGAAATACTGCTACAAGTGGAAAAAGATAACAACAGGGGTGGTGATGGAAAGAAAGAAAAGAAGCATGATTAGAAAGATCAAGATGGTGATGATCGAGCTGCAACAGCAACAGATTATGATCTTATCATTGTACATGATGAGAGCTCGGTGAATCTTGCTAGATATGAGACAAGTTGGGTTATTGACAGTGGATCCTCCCTACATGTGACATCAAGGAAGGAATTCTTCACATCTTATACACCTGGTGACTTTGGAGTATTAAAGATCGGTAATGATGGCTTGGCTCTAGACATCCGTTTACACTTAATCTCGAAAGGAAAACTCGATGATCAGGCTATTGTAACACCTTTCATAGTGGCCAATGGAAGCTTACTAAGGGAAATTTTATGTTAGCTCGTGGGAAGAAGAACACAAGCCTGTATTTGCTGCAAGCCACAATTACCACAGATAGTGTAAATGTAGCAGATGATGATCCAACAATGTTGTGGCATAGAAGACTTGGCCATATGAGTGAAATAGGGCTAAGTTGTTTGATGAAGAAGAAAGCACTTTCAGATTTGAAGAGTGTAAAGTTGGACAAATGTCCACATTGTTTCGCAGGCAAGCAAAACAGAGTCTCTTTCAAGAGACACCCTTCTTCCAGAAAATGAGGTTTGCTTGACCTTGTTTATTCGAGTGTTTGTGGTCCTTTTAAAGTCAAAAGTTTTAGTGGTGAACTTTACTTTGTTACCTTTATTGATAATTGTTTAAGAAAGTTGTGGGTTTATGCTTTGAAAAACGAAGACCAAGTGCTTGATACTTTTAAGCAATTTCAAGCTTTGGTTGAAAGGCAAACAGGTAGAAAGTTGAAGTGCCTCCGTAATGACAATGGTGTGAATAAATTGGACCACTTGATGACTATTGTAAGTCACAGGGTATACGGCATCAGTTTACGCCAGAGAAGACCACAACTGAATGGTGTAGCAGAGAGAATGAACAAAACTTTGTTAGAGAGGATACGGTGCATGCTTTCAGAGGCAAAATTACCAAGACACTTTTGGGGTGAAGCTTTGTTTATAGCTACACATGTGATTAATTTGTCTCCTTGTTTTCCTTTAAATGGTGATGTTTAAGATAAAGTTTGGCTAGGCAAGGAGGTTTCCTATAATCATTTGCGTGTCTTCGGGTGCAAGGCATTTGTGCATGTTCCAAGTGATGAAAGACTAAAACTGGATTCAACGACTCGCCAATGCATCTTTTTGGGCTATGGTTTGAACCAGTTTGGTTACAGGTTTTATGATCTTGTAGAGAAGAAATTTATTCGAAGCAGGGATATGGTATTTGTCGAGGATCAAACAATTGAAGACATCCAGAAGGCTGAAGAATCTACATCTCACAGTAACGTTGATTTGGTTGATTTGGATCTACCTCCCGTGACTCTTGCACCTACTCCAGCTGAACAGGTGCAAGATAATGATAATGGGGATGATGTTCCCGAGGTAGACACTACTAGAAAAAAGACTTATGGCAACGACAATAATTTGTTACCATATGTCCTATTAATGTTGCCATATGCCTATAGCAACAGATTATAAACCGTTACCAATAGGTGCCGTTGCTAAAACTCTTTGGCAACAACTTTCATGCATTAGGCAACAATTATTGTAAACTGTTTCTGTAAATAATTATGGCAGCGCTTTTCTTCGGTAGCACTTTTTACTTTATGCCAACACTTATTCAACAACTTTAGGCAACATTTTAAAAGTTAAAGCAACAATTTTCGCTAATTTAAAGCAGCACTTGTTGGCTTGAAACTAGTTAATGTTTAAAATTAAGGCAACACTTTATTTTGTTTATAGCAATGCTTCCAATTGAAACTAAGGCGACACTTTTAAACCTGTTAATGGCAACGCTTTTAATTGGCATTTAAGCAATAGATTATATAATGCATATAATAAGTAAATTGCTTAAATAGCATATGATCGATAAACTTTTGCTTAGTATAAGTTCTCCATAAAAATTTATATGTAGTTAATTCAAATCAATTCTAAACGATAAGCTAAATATTTATTACAAACAAAAAAAACGTTCAACCTAAATATTTCATACATTAATCTAATAAAAAATTCCAAAACCAGATTCAAAAACCAATCTAATGTTTTTGCTAAAATTCCAATAGATCTTTAGATGTTTGATGGAGCACTTGATACTTGGATATGAATAGCCTCCTAAAAAACAATAACAATAATAATAAGACTCCTATATTAAATTTTAAAAAAATAAATCTCCAATGAATTATTTATGGAAAATTATTATCAAAACACTAGAAATTACTTTTGTAGTGAGCAAAAAATGAAAATAAAAAATATTTCATCTTAAAAAGGCAAGATGGAGGTACTGTAGCAACATCACAAGAGTATAAGTAACATCAAAAGATCATAAATTTGTATAATCGTAGATACTACATTATCAAAACACTAAAACAATTTGGCTTAGCAGAATCATTAGTTTTGATGCCTAGTTTCGAGAAGAGGAAAGAAATTGAGTTTTCAATCGTATAATCATCAAAAACAATAATGCCAGTAAGCACATATTTTATAACACAAAGCTCAAGTTTCTGGATTATCCATTATACCATATAAAGTAGTACTTGAACAATACTGAACAAATATGTAAACCATTGGCATGCATATATATTAGCTTTTTAACACCCTGCAAATTCCAACGCCTTTTTTAGCATATGCAAACACATAAAAATTATCGAATTTAAACCACCTAATTATGATCTTTGGTCTAACATCCAACTCGGCAACCAAAGGCATTCTAAGATAACATGTAAATGGAATAACATACCTGTTCATAATCTTAAATAATATAATTTATGGATCATTTGTAATCGTTGAAACGATAGCTTTTGCAATAATTTCTGGAGTTAAGCTAGGATCTTTTTGGCGTAGTTGTGCAATGCCGATATTACTGCATCAAGAGTTATATTTCCTTGTTGATTTGCAATATCCATGCGTATCTCTTGCAGTTTTAAGGTCTCAAATTCAAGCTCCTTTGTTTTCCTCTCTATTTCAGCTTCTTGTGGAGCATGAACTTCTTTTTCCTTGGAAAATTCTTCAATTTCATCATTTATATCCTTTTGAACATCAGCAGTTACAGCACTTTTGATAGACTCCATGACCTCTTCTGGTAGAATCAAAGAGGTACTAGGTCCTTTATCTTTTCGCTTCTTACGAGTGGCACCAAGTCCTTGTAATAATTCTGTACCTCGACGTGCATTTCCCATAACTTCATCAAATGGGTCCTTAATAGATTCACCACTCTGATCATCTTGAGAAGCTTCCAATTCCCTCATTGCTTGCTATAACAATTATTAAAAATTATAGGTGACAAAAGTATACGATTAATTTATTCATTAAATAAATTAATAGGAATAATATAGTATTTACTATCTTTTGTTGTGTATCATCATAAGGCCGATCATAAGTTCTTCCCTCCTTTCGTCGTCGAGTCTCTTCAATCATTCTTCTTTTTGATGGTGCCACAACAACTTTCCGTAGCTAATAAATAAACAAAAATAAATATATAAACAACATAGAATCCATGAAATAAAAAAAATAATCATAATAAATGTGGAATGTATTTCGCACCAACTGCTCATGTTTCATGGCAAAGGAAACAGGACCATTTGTATGTATGTTGTCTTGTTCACGCCGATTTTCAGAATTTTGCAAACTGGTTTTCTACATAAAATAAAAATGCATAAGCATAAAAGTTAAGACAAATTTTGAGAGTTCCTAATTATTCAATTATACCTTTGCTATTGTTGTCCCCCAATAAGCTAAAAGTGTTTTGTAATGTGCTTCGGGCACTCTTTCAGGAGGATGCTTCAATCTCTCTTCTAGGTGTCATACATATAATAATGATCTCTTTTGAGGCGACATTTGAATCCTCTCCAAGATTGATCAAGAGTCTCCATTACCCAATCCTTAGCTTCAACAGGAAGTATGTACTTGCTCTAAAATAATGGTTAGGTTTATGTTATAAAAAAAATATTAAAACACATGTAAAAGTAAAATTATGTTGTAGACTCAAAACATTACAAATGAGAGAAAAGAACACTTAATTCACAAATTCCCAAATTTTCTCCTTATTCGGAACTTTTTTCCAATTTGTGTATGTCAAGGGAGCCCAATTGTAATCATGAGCAATAGTTCCTAAGAATCTAGTTAGCTCTTTCCTTGCCTTTTCAGGCCCAATAGGTTGTCCTTTGTCACGACAATATATAGTTACGGGATCTTCCCACTTGCGAGCATGGACATCAAACAAAGTTGTTGGACCTCGCCCTTTCTTCTTAGGAACTTTTATCCAAGTTAGAACGGAATAATTAATTCATAAGAAATCTCTAGATAAAAATAAATATTACAATCACAACTTTATTAATGCAATTACATGAAATATAGAAGTTCAAAAATAAACATGTGACAAGCATTCAACTCAATTTAAAGAATTGCAATCTGTTTTTGTATTTTATAATTCTATAGAACTGTGAAGCCAAGCCTTATGCATCAGCAGGCCTTGCATCAAAAGTAGAAGGCCCTACAACAACAATAGCTGCAGACCCTGCATTAACAACAACAAACCTTGCACTAGCAGTGTCCCTTGATCAACACAAGCATTCACATATTTCCTCGTGCAGCAGCAGCACCTCCCAGAGCAAAAAACTCTCCTCAAATACCTCCGAAACTCCCCCACAAGCCTAATAAAATTAACTTCAACCCGTACATAACTATGTTTGATTGTATAATGGTAATTAGCTAGCAGTTTTTTCATAATTTGTTCATTGTTTACAGCTAATTACTTAAATAATAAGAGAAGAAGCAGATTATAGAAAGTTCTCTAACCTTGGATTGCATAACTAAAAATGTTACAAGACCATAAGATTTATCATGATTTTTAGAGGGGTGGAGTATTGAATACAAACCTTGTGCGGAAATAGATTCTCCTCGGCTTTCTAGTGGGACAATGATCGAAAGTGGACGCTTAGAATTTTGTCGAACTTACTCCAATTGTTGTACATCTTGCTCTATTTGTTGTACTTCAACTGGATCCATTTGATTTTGCGTAACAAGGAAATTGTCCATTGCCATAGATGGTCACAATGGCTGCTTCTTATTCTTCCTAGGTGGTTGCTCTCTAGTTCTTTCCTTCTAGCATCGGAACATCAAGGTAATTATTATCGAAGATTAACATGATCCCAAGAAGAAAATAAAAAATAAATAAGGAAAAAAGGAAAAAAGAAACCTTCTTAGGTATAGAGGTTGCTGCTTCAATTAAAACATCTCTCTCTCTAGACTTCTCAAACTCCTCAAGGTCACAATTTTCTTTATCAGGCACATAGTCTGGATCATCTACATTAGAATTCACATTCTCCTTTCCTTTTGCAAAATTCTTACTTTTTTCCAACAGTTGCTGAGCAATCTTGTCGAGCCCTAACTCTCTAAACTTCTGGGCATTTTTTTCTATTGTCATGGACCTAACTTTCTCATAAGATGTTAAAATGGACTTTGAGGCAATTTCAGGCTTCTTACTTCCATTCTTCATCATTCTGCAAACAAATATTATAAACAGTTAGTGGGGAAAAATAGTTTAGACATATCAAATAGCACTTACTACAAAAAAGTAAGACATATTTTTTTCAAATATAACACATATAGACATACTTAAACTTAAAAATTTATAAGTACTATATCTTATACCTGACCAAAGCAAATATATTCAAGTTTTGGGAAAAAATTAGAAAAAACAATCTGATTCACTAAAAAGATGACAATTTTGAGGAAGTCCAAATATGATAACTACTTACTACTAACAAAAGCTAAATCAAAAGGTTCAATCAACAAGTCTAATAACATAAGACAGATAATAATATGATAAAATCACTTCTTTTTTTTAAAAAATAAATACAATTGCTCAAGATTCATTAATAATCCTATGGGTCATGAGCTGGAAAATCATCAGTCGCATCCATCCAATCCCAATCTGTATCATCATAGTCAACGTCATCTTCAAGGTCATTAACATCTTCAGACTCTGATAAATCATCTATGTTCACATCACGCACTTCAACATCAGCTCCTACATGAATATGATTAGCATCAAAAGAAGGCATGTTATTAGAACTAGAATCAATAGGCTCCTCCCAATATGTTTCTTCACTTAGTGCTTCCTCAAACTCAAAAAGATCTCTTGGAACCCTTTTCATGACGTATTGAATATCTTTTTCTAATGGGTCTTGGGAATAGTATACTTGATGAACCTGAGAAGCCAATACAAATGGATCATCTTTGGAACATTTCTTCTTGAAATTGACATATGTAGGCCTAAATTCATCAATATCACTAAGAAAACAATCACACTTACATAACACAATGCTGAATTGAGACCAAAAGTCGAACTCAAAAATTTCTTCTATTACACCATAGTAGGTAACATCTCCGTCGACGGGATTTCGATCTCTTGAACTGGCAAAACTTGAAGTCAAAGCTATCAAAGTCACTCCGCTATTTTGAGTCTTTAATCGTGAATCACGTTCTCTAGTGTAAAACCTATAACCATTGATAAAATACCCAGTGTAGCTCCTGGCCTTAGGATTAGGACCCTTAGCCAACCAAAAAAGTTCCCCATTAACCTGCTCCCTTTATACTTTTTCAAAAAAACCAATCAATAAAATCTTTTCTATGACTTTGTGCACTATCCCATCTACGCTTTCGGCCTTGGCTATTCACCCAAATTCTTCACTATATTCCTAGATTCATTAAATGATTTAGGAAGTTCGGCCATTGGAAATGCCTCTCTTAATAGCTCTAAAAGATCACCAAAGGCTACATTGCTTAAGCCATTAAGGCACTTAAAGAGAAACAAACGAATTATGAAAGAAAATTTCGAGAAAGTTTTACAACCTGGATATAACTCTTTCTTTCCTTCTTCCACTAAATGAAAAAACTTTCTAGCCTCCTCATTTGGCTCACTTTCAACCTCGTGATCTCTATTTAGACCTTCACCGACTTCTCCAAAAGTATCACGTAGTAAGCCATCAATATCATCATGTATACTTTGATTATTTACTTCATGCACATTTTGCCAATCATTATTTGTAAAAGAATATCCCTCCCTTTGCAAGACCCACTCCTTGAATCCCTTCACAAACCCATTAACAATCAAATGATCATAGACGTCATCTCTAGAATGGAAAAAACGCCTCGAACACGTTTTACAGGGGCAAAATATTTAATCTCCAATGGAGTCCTTGGCAAAAGAATCATCAAGAAAAAAATTCAACGCAACTTTAAAGTCCTCCGAACTTCTAGGATAGTTCATCCAATTATAATCCATAACTTAATTTATGTCAATTCCTAAATTACACAAGCAAATAAATTTAGAGATCTATCTATACTATGAAATGAAATAATAGATTTGTTAGATATTAACTGGAAAAATATATAGTACAATAGTTGAAAATAGAAATCTCAAGAAAATACATATAAAGATCATCTATGATATCTAAATACGTACACATATTAGTTATAAACCAAAATCTAGTTCATATAAGTCATATGTAACATCTTAATTAAGGTCAAAAGTCATATATAACAAGAGAATAACTAGTTTTACACACTAGCTAGAAAGAAAATTACAAAGCCTAAATAAAACTTCAAATAAGAAACTACTAACTATGAAATAAAAGTTAGGTAGACATGATTCCATTAACTCATGATAATTCCCCACTAACTAGAACTACGCTACTGGCCACATAATTAAATTGGAGCATCTTTGATATTTGGGTTTTAAATAATGTTATGAAATTTTCTCTTATGGGTTTTTGATATTTAGTACTTAAAATTTGTCTTACTATCCTTTATTTATTAATTACCCCACAAAGCTGATGATGTACTAGCTTTCTTGACTCTAGCCTTATTGAGTTGGATGATTATAGGACTTACTAAACAATCAATTAAACTTAGATGTTATCTGAATTATTGAAAGCCAATTTATTTGTATGTATACAAATAATAAAACATAAGAACACAAATATTACTCAAGTATACAAAGTGCTATACATAATTGAAATAGAAAGTCTTTAGGTTCACATACGATTAATCTCATTAAAACAAAAGATTGACAAAGTAAAATTATCCTCGTACATTTTCAATTTTTGCTAGATATATGCTTGTAGTTACATACAAAAAACATTTGACCATAGTAGCAACTAGGATAGCATAACAGGGTATTATTATTCATCAGAGGAAGACAAAAATCCTCACCAACCATTAATTTTATATATCAATGGGTATCAATCTTAGCCTTGCCTATCACTGTAATTTTAACCCTTCATATTCTAAATTCAATTACCTTTTAAATTATTTACTCTCATCATAAAAAGTACATATTATAAAAGGATTTAGCTTTTGTGATGACTTAAACCCTATAATAATTCTACTAATAAACAATCTAACAGAAGCTTTTAGATCAATTAACTCTCCTACTCGCTGCGAGTATCTGAAAATATAATTAACCATCTAGCCCATAAATAATTTAGCTAATAAAACATATAATAATTCAATAGCTTTTGTGATTTAATTAAGCCATCTAATAAAACACACAAACACAATACGAAAATATCAAATGAATTCCCTGATAATACTAAATCACGCATGCAATTTTAACAGAAAGTGATAAACCACCTAATAAATCAATGTATACAAATTATTTATAATTATATCAAATCATTCAAATTCCCCAATTTTTATATCAATAAAATCCTATTTTCCCTTATCAACACTAATATACCCTTTTTACTACCTTAGAATTGTGATAATAGTATAGAATAGAAAAACTAAATACACCGAATTACTACTAACCTCGTATGTCGATCTTGAAAATAGCATAAATATTCCGCTAAACTGTGAATATTCAGCCCCCTTTTGCCCAATCTTTGAAATCTCAACTAAATTCACCAATTAATTGTAGTTTGAGAAGTGAAAGTGAGGAGAGAGAAACGAATTTAGGTTTAATTTGGGGATTTTATTTTTTTTTTGACGAGAATTTGGGGATTTTATAGAACACTAAGAAAAGATGAAAAGAGAGTGGGAAAGCAAAATATTGAACCTCCTACTGAAATTTTACCAATTGACGACCCGCCTACAGATTTTTTTCAACACCCATTCTTTTTTTTTTTTAAATAGGATAGTAACTGTTGCCACGTAGCATCTTTGACTTAGTCATTGAAAAGTGTCGCCATATTTTTTGTATAGCAACAGTTTTTAATAGACTGAGAGTAATCACATTAATAAATTAAAAAGTGTTGCAATATGTCTAGTTAAAGCAACACTAATCAAACTGTTGCAAAAATTGACGTTGCTATAGCCCTATTTTTTTGTAGTGAGATGATGATTTTGATAATGATGATTGTGATGCAATTGAGCTTGATAACCAGGATTCAACTGAAGAGCAACCAGATCCTGTGAGACGATCTATCAGAGACCGACGACCTTCCATAAGGTATCCTTCTTCTGATTATGTTCTCCTAACTGACGGGGGAGAACCTGAGTCCTTTGAGGAAGCCATGGATAGTGATGACAAGCAGCATTGGTTAGATGCAATGAAAGATGAAATGAAATCATTGCATGATAACCACACTTTTGATCTTGTGAAGCTACCGAAGGGTAAGAGAGCCTTGAGGAATCGGTTGGTTTACAAGCAAAAACAAGATGAGAATGCTAAGAAACCATGATACAAAGCAAGACTTGTTGTCAAAGGCTGCAACCAGAAGTAGGGAATAGACTTTGAAGAGATTTTTGCACCGGTTGTCAAGATGTCCTCCATTAGAGTTGTTTTGGGTCTTGCTGCTAGCTTGAATTTGGAGATTGAGCAGTTGGATGTGAAGACCGCGTTTCTTCTCGGTGACCTTGAGGAAGACATATACATGGAACAACCAGAGGGCTTCAAAGTCAAGGGGAAGGAAGTGTATGTGTGCAAATTGAAGAAGAGCTTGTATGGCCTAAAACAAGCTCCAAGGCAATGGTATTGCAAGTTTGACTCCTTTATAGGGGAGAAAGGCTACAAGAAGACTTCTTGTGATCATTGTGTCTTCTTGAAGAAATTTTCTGACAATGATTTTATCATTTTTCTACTTTATGTTGATGACATGCTTATTATAGGGCAAAATGTGGATAGAATTGTCAGCTTGAAACAACAGTTGAGTAAGACTTTCTCTATGAAGGAACTCAGGCCAGCCAAGAACATTTTAGGCATGAGGATCATCCGTGATCGTAAGGCTTGAAAGGTTGTGGTTGTCACAAGAAGAACATATTCAAAAGGTGCTTCAGAGGTTCAACATGGAGAAAGAAAAACCAGTGAGTACTCCTCTTGCTTTGCATTTTAAATTGAGTTCTCAATAGTGTCCTTCTACATCTGAAGAGAAGGAAAGTATGATTCATATTCCATATGCTTCAGCAGTGGGTAGCTTGATGTATGCAATGGTTTGTACTAGGCCCGATTTAGCTCATGCAGTTAGTTTGGTTAGTCGTTTTCTCTCTGATCTAGGAAAGGAGCATTGGAATGCTGTGAAATGGATTATGAGATATCTACGAGGTACTGCAGATATGAAGCTATGCTTTGGGAGTGATAAGCCTATTCTTGTTGGCTACTTAGATTCTGATATGGCAGGTGATATAGACTCGAGGAAGTCTACTTCAGGCTATTTGATCACTTTTGCAGGGGGGGCAGTTTCTTTGCAATCTAGGTTACAGAAATGTGTGGCATTTACCACAACTGAGTCAGAGTTCATCGCAGCGACAGAGGCATGTAAGGAGTTGTTATGGATTAAACGGTTTGTTCGTCAACTAGGATTTACACAAAAGAGGTATGTGTTGTATTGTGACACTCAAAGTGCTATTCATCTTGCTAAGAATTCTACCTTTCATGCAAAGTCAAAACACATTGATGTGAGGTATCATTGGATACAAGATGTTCTTGACGCTAAGTTCCTTGAGCTTGAGAAAATTCATACCGATGACAATGGCTCCGACATGATGACTAAGGCATTGCAAAGGGGCAAGTTTGAAACTTTTCATTCGATTTCCGGAATGGAAACCACCTCCACATAGTCGGGAGGGGGAGATTTGTTAGGCTATGGGTCCCTTCCTATGTGGAGAAAGCCCATTTTGATGTTGTGTTAGCTTTTGGGGGAACTAGTTAAGTTTTAGCCCAAGTGATGTTAGAGCTTCTTTGAGAAGCTACTACTTGTTGACTTTGTGGTGCTTTTGTCATGGGAATTGGATGAGCAACAAAGCCTTAAAAATACATTTACTTGCTGCCAGCCGTTGTGAGTAAATGTCAGAAGGAAGTAGTTGGGAAGAGGAGTGAAAAATACAGAGTTTCAAAGTTCAACCATTTCACGTCCTTCATTGCACAGCTCCAAATATCATCCCCGATCGAAGCTCATCCGTAGTCTGATTTGGCTCAAATTTTGACAGCTTGTCCGAGACATCTAGGGATTTGTTTTTAACAGTCAGATTCTCTTTTGCTGCTACTGTTCGTGAGTTACGGCCTCTGGACAAAACTCTGTTTTTTTTGGGATATTCTTCCATTTTTTCCTTCATTACTTTGTTCTTAAGATTGTTGTTGTTTGGTTAAATTGAGTACCCAATTTTAGACTTGGAATTGTGTTTGTGTAACATACCTTTCATCAATAAGAACAATTTGGGTGGACTCCTAAAGTCCCGTGGTTTTTTACTCTTCACATCGAAGAGGTTTTCCACGTAAAAATCGTGTGTCCTTGCTTGGTTGATTATGCTCGTTATTTGCCATATATTTCTGCCTTTGGTGTGTTAATATTTCTGGTTGTGTGTTGATCTTGGAGATATATCATATAGCTTGGTTTAAGTGTGACCTTTGAACAAACTAGTAGCTTGTGTGTGGTTGTGGTTTGTTTGTTTGGTCGATTGATTATTCCGCAAGAGGTGTGTTTATCCTCAACAATCTGGTATCAGATCCACGGCTTTATTATTGAGTTCTCGGGATGGAATACGGCAATATTAACACTAGTAGAATGGTTAGTTTGAATGGAACTAACTGTCATCTTTAGAAGAGAAAGATGAGAGATTTGTCGTATGTCAAGAGTTGGCATTTACCTGTGTTTAGTGCTAAAAAATCAGAAGGTAAAAGTGATGAGAAATGGCAATCTGAACATGAGCAAGTTTGTGGGTTCATTCGTTAATGGGTTGATGATAATGTCTTAAATCACATAAATGATGATGTGCATGCAAAGTCTCTTTGGGAGAAGCTTGAATCCTTGTATGCTAGTAAGTGTGGCAATAATAAATTGTACTTGATTAAGTAATTGATGGGCTTGAAGTACAGAGAAAGCAAGACACTTTCAGATCACTTGAATGATTTTCATGGCATTCTCCAACAATTGTTAGACATGGGAATCAAGTTTGATGATGAAATTCAGGGACTTATATTGGTTGGTACTCATCCTGATTCATGGGACACTTTCAGAATGACACTTTGTAACTCTGCACCACAAGGCAAAATCACGTTGGATCTTGATAAGGTTGGTATCTTGAATGAGGAGATGAGAAATAAATCTCATGGTGTGTCATCTTCGTCCGATGAAGCATATGTTGCTAATAACAGGAGAAGAAGCAAGATCAAGGCTCCGAGTGGCAGAGATAAAAGCAGGAGCAAGTCCCGTGGGAGATACAAAAACATGAAATGCAACTAATGTGATAAAATGGGTAACATCCGAAATACTGCTACAAGTGGAAGAAAGATAAAAACAGGGGTGGTAAAGGCAAGCAAGAAAAGAAGCATGATTAGAAAGATCAAGATGGTGATGATCGAGCTGCAACAGCAACAGATGATGATCTTATCATTATACATGATGAGAGCTCGGTGAATCTTGCTAGATATGAGACAAGTTGGGTTATTGTCAGTGGAGCCTCACTACATGTGACATCAAGGAAGGAATTCTTCACATTTAATACACCTGGTGACTTCGGGGTATTGAAAATGGGTAATGATGGCTTGGCTCAAGTTGTTGGTGTTGGTGATATCTGCTTGATAACTGATATTGGAGAAAAGTTAGTGCTCAAGAATGTTAGACATGTTCTAGACATCCGTTTACACTTAATCTCGAAAGGAAAACTAGATGATGAAGGCTATTGTAACACCTTTCATAGTGGCCAGTGGATGCTTACTAAAGGAAATTTGGTGTTAGATCGTGGGAAGAAGCACACAAGCCTGTATTTGCTTCAAGCCACAATTTTCACAAATAGTGTAAATGTAGCAGATGATGATCCATCAAAGTTGTGGCATAGAAGACTTGGCCATATGAGTGAAAAAGGGCTAAGTTGTTTGATGAAGAAGAATGCACTTTTAGATTTGAAGAGTGTAAATTTGGACAAATGTCCACATTGTTTCGCATGCAAGCAAAACAAAGTCTCTTTCAAGAGACACCCTTCTTCCAGAAAATCAGGTTTGCTTGACCTTATTCATTCTGATGTTTGTGGTCCTTTTAAAGTCAAAAGTTTTAGTGGTGCACTTTACTTTGTTACCTTTATTGATGATTGTTCAAGAAAGTTGTGGGTTTATGCTTTGAAAAACAAAGACCAGGTGCTTGATACTTTTTAGCAATTTCAAGCTTTGGTTGAAAGGCAAACAGGTAGAAAGTTGAAGTGCCTCTGTAATGACAATGGTGGTGAATACATTGGACCACTTGATGACTATTGTAAGTCACGGGGTATACGACATCAGTTCACACCAAAGAAGACTCCACAACTGAATGTCGTAGCAGAGAGAATGAACAAAACTTTGTTAGAGAGGATAGGTGCATGCTTTCAGAGGCAAAATTACCGAGACAATTTTGGGGTGAAGCTTTGTTTACAGCTACACATGTGAGTAATTAGTCTCCTTTTGTTCCTTTAAATGGGTATGTTCCAGATAAAGTTTGGCTAGGCAAGGAGGTTTCCTATAATCATTTCCGTGTCTTCGGGTGCAAGGCATTTGTGCATGTTCAAAGTGATGAAAGATCAAAACTGGATTCAACGACTCGCCAATGCATCTTTGTGGGCTATGGTTTGGACCAGTTTGGTTACAGGTTTTATGATCCTGTAGAGAAGAAATTGATTTGAAGCAGGGATGTGGTATTTGTCGAGGATCAGACAACTGAAGACATCTAGAAGGCTAAACAATCTATATCTCACAATAACGATGATTTGGGTGATTTGGATCTACCTCCTTTGACTCCTGCACCTACTCCAGCTGAACAGCTGCAAGATAATGATAATGGGGATGATGTTCCCGAGGTAGATGATGATGTTGATAATGATGATGTTGATAATGATGATGGTGATACAATTGAGCTTGATAACCAGGGTTCAATTGAAGAGCAACCAGATCCTGTGAGACGGTCTATCAGAGACCGACGACCTTCCATTAGGTATCCTTCTTTTAATTATGTTCTCCTAACTGACGGGGGAGAACATGAGTCCTTTGAGGAAGCCATGGATAGTGATGACAAGCAGCATTAGTTAGATGCAATGAAAGATGAAATGAAATCATTGCATGGTAACCATACTTTTGATCTTTTGAAGCTACCGAAGGGTAAGAGAGCCTTGAGGAATCGTTGGGTTTACAAGCAAAAACAAGATGAGAATGCTAAGTAACCACGATACAAAGCAAGACTTGTTGTCAAAGGCTGCAACCAGAAGTAGGGAATAGACTTTGAAGAGATTTTTGCACCGGTTTTCAAGATGTCCTCCATTAGAGTTGTTTTGGGTCGTGCTTCTAGCTTGAATTTGGAGATTAAGCAGTTGGACGTGAAGACCGCGTTTCTTCACGATGACCTTGAGGAAGACATATACATGGAACAACAGAGGGCTTCAAAGTCAAGGGGAAGGAAGAGTATGTGTGCAAATTGAAGAAGAGCTTGTATGGCCTAAAACAAGCTCCAAGGCAATGGTATCGTAAGTTTGACTCCTTTATGGGGGAACAAGGCTACAAGAAGACTTCTTGGGATCATTGTGTCTTCTTGAAGAAATTTTCTGACAATGATTTTATCATTTTGCTACTTTATGTTGATGACATGCTTATTGTAGGGCAAAATGTGGATAGAAATGTCAGCTTGAAGCAACAGTTGAGTAAGACTTTCTCTATGAAGGAACTCGGGCCAGCCAAGAACATTTTAGGCATGAGGATCATCCGTGATCGTAAAAATCGTAGGTTATGGTTGTCACAAGAAGCATATATTCAAAAGGTGCTTCAGAGGTTCAACATGGAGAAAGCAAAACCAATGAGTACTCCTCTTACTTTGAATTTTAAGTTGATTTCTCAACAGTGTCCTTCTAAATCTGAAGAGAAGGAAAGTATGACGCATATTCAATATGCTTCAGTAGTGGGTAGCTTGATGTATGCGATGGTTTGTATTAGGCCCGATTTAGCTCATGCAGTTGGTTTGGTTAGTTGTTTTCTCTCTAATCCAGGAAAGGAGCATTGCAATGCTATGAAATGGATTATGAGATATCTACGAGGTACTGCAGATATGAAGCTATGCTTTGGGAGTTATAAGCCTATTCTTGTTGGCTACTTAGATTCTGATATGGCAGGTGATATAGACTCGAGGAAGTCTACTTCGGGCTATATGATCACTTTTGCAGGGGGAGCAGTTTTTTGGCAATCTAGATTACAAAAATGTGTCGCATTGTCCATAACTGAGTCAGAGTTCATCGCAGCGACAGAGGCATGTAAGGAATTGTTATGGATGAAACGGTTTGTTCGTCAACTTGGATTTACACAAAAGAGGTATGTGTTGTATTGTGACAATCTAATTTCTATTTGTCTTGCTAAGAATTCTACCTTTCATGCAAATTTGAAACACATTGATGTCAGGTATCATTGGATACGGGATGTTCTTGATGCTAAGTTCCTTGAGCTTGAGAAAATTCATACCGATGACAATGGCTCTGACATGATGACTAAGGCATTGCCAAGGGGCAAGTTTGAGACTTGTCGTTCGATTGCTGGAATGGAAACCACCTCCACATAGTCGGGAGGGGGAGATTTGTTAGTCTATGGGTCCCTTCCTATGTGGAGAAAGCCCATTTTGATGTTGTGTTAGCTTTTGGGGCAACTAGTTAAGTTTAAGCCCAAGTGATGTTAGAGCTTCTTTGAGAAGCTACTACTTGTTTACTTTGTTGTGCTTTTGCCGTGGGAATTGGATGAGCAACAAAGCCTTAAAAATACATTTACTTGCTGCCAGCCATTGTGAGTAAATGTGAAAGGGAAGTAGTTGGGAAGAGGAGTGAAAAATATAGAGAGTTTCAAAGTTCAGCCATTTCACGTTCTTCATTGCACAGCTGCAGAAATCTGCCCTGATCGAAGATCATCCCTAGTGCGATTTAACTCAAATTTTGATAGCTTGTCTGGGACATTTAGGGCTTCGTTTTCAACAGTCGGATTGTCTTTTTCTGCTACTGTTCGTGAGTTACTCCCCTGGACAGAACTCTTTTTTCTGGTGATATTTTCATTTTTTCCTTCATTACTTTGTTCTTATGATTGTTGTTGTTTGGGTTAATTGAGTACCCAACTTTTAGACTAGGAATTGTGTTTGTGTAACATTCCTTTCATCAATAAGAAAAATTAGGGTGGACACCTAAAGTCCCGTTGTTTTTTACTCTTTACATCGAAGAGGTTTTCCAAGTAAAAATCGTGTGTTCTTGCTTGGTTTATTATGCTCGTTATTTGCCATATATTTCTGCCTTTGGTGTTTTAATATTTCTGGTTGTGTGTTGATCTTGGAGATGTATCATATAGCTTGGTTTAAGTGTGACCTTTGAACAAACTAGTAGCTTGTGTGTGCTTGTGGTTTGTTTGTTTGGTCGATTGATTATTCCTGAAGAGGTGTGTTTATCCTCAATAGCTTGCTGCTTCTATGCTATGCTACTTCTGATCTACTGTGCTATTGTAAATGTTGCTATAAATGTTTTGTATTTCTCTCTAATTATTCTTATTTTATTGTTGAGTTTGTTTATGAATTTTGACTCTACTGCTGGATGTTTATGTGGCTATGCCTTTGAATGATGGGTTTAGTTGTTTGATATCACTAGTTTTCGAGCTCCACGCGCGCGATGCGCAAGCTTCTTATGGTGAATCGAAAAAAGTTTAGTTTGGCACTTAACGTTAATGCGTAATTAATTTGTTGTATATTGACATATTGTGTGTTGAATTCACAAATATAATGTTATAATTATAAATAGATTAATAATGTTGTAGTTTTTTATTTAGCAATAATTTATAATGTGTATTATAATTATAGTGCATTCTTGTTGATCGTTTATGGTATTAGGCCAATTGCCTGATAAAAAAGACGATGTGCACGTACGGGTTTTTCAATTCGAATGGGTAGAAATATAATATAAGTACATAGGTGTAAAAAATATGGTAATTTGTTAAATAATTTTCCCTCATTTTAATCACTCTCTTTATTTCTCTTCCAACCCCCTTGCATTTCTGCAATCCATATATCTGTTTTTTAGCCTCTCTCTATCTCATCCTCCTTCCTTCATAACCCATATTTCTATCCCTCCCATGTTTTCGAACTTTTTTTACTCCTGGCCTTTATCCCTTCTTCTAGCCTACCCCTTATCTCTTTTGAACTGGTATCTCTATCTTTCAGCCTGCCCTATCTTTTAGCCTCTCTTTGTCTCTTTCTTCAAACCCTTCGCTTTCCTAGTTCCCTTTCTCTCTCTCAATGATTCTCTATATTTGGCCCTTGTTTCTCTACCTCCTTATCCCTTTCTCTTCTCCCCTTCCTCTCCTCCTCTATATTAAGTAACCCCTGACCGACTAACCCCGTACTAAGTAATTCTTCAAGTAACCTGTGAATTAACCCTCAAGTAACTTGACCAAGTAACCCCTGACTGAAATCCTTAAATAACCCCTTACCATGTAACTTGAGTAACCCCTGACCGAATAACTCGAGTAACCCAAACCCTTCGCTTTCCTATTTCCCTTTCTCTCTTTCGATGATTTTTTTGATTTTGGCCCTTGTTTCTCTACCTCCCTTTCCCTTTCCCTTTCTCTCCATCTCCCCTTCCTCTCCTTCTCTATCTTAAGTAATCTCTTACCAACTAACCCTAGACTGAGTAATTCTTCAAGTGACCTCTGAATGAACCCTCAAGTAACCACTGACCGAGTAACCCCTGACCAAACTCTTTAAGTAACCCTTACCGAATTACTCAAATAACCCCTGACCGAACTCCTATTCTCTATTCATCACTCTCTTTATTTCTCTTTCAACTCCCTTGCATTTCTCTTGTCCCTATATGAGTAAAATATGATTAATGTACATCATTGCATTTCTCTATTCATCACTCTCTTTATTCATCACTCTCTTTATTTCTCTATTCATCACTCTCTTTATTCATCACTCTCTTACATCATTGCATTTCTCTTTACATCTTTGAACTCCCTTGCATTTCTCTATTCATCACTCTCTTTATTTCTCTTGACCGAACTCCTATTCTCTATTCATCACTCTTCTTGCATTTCTCTTCCAAAAAGATAGAATACAAATATGAGTAAAATCATGAGATTAAATCTCATGTACATCATTGAACTTCGTAGCTCTTTCTACATACAAAAATAATAAAATACATGATTAATGTAAGGATTGCCAGCTATACACTTAAGTTTGCTATCATAGAATATAAACCTTTATCGGCAATGAAAACTGACAAATAGTTTAATTTTAAGGGGGTGTTTGGTTAGGAGCTTTTTGTAGTAAAAAAGAGCATTATTCACAATAGTACAGTAATAATAATCAGGAAAAAAACACATACTAACCAGTTTGCAGTAAACTAATCCAAAAGATTTATCATTGCATTGCAACTATTATTTAAGAATCTTTTATTTAAATGATACATAAATGGAATATACAATTGGATAGTTCAACAATATAAAACTCTGCAATGTCTTCTACTTTAAATTTGATGTATACATCGCCGTAGGTTCCTGAGTTTCTCTCTAATTAAGCTGGTAACTGTATTAATATGTTCATTGCACTTACGAGTAAAAATTGGAGCAGAACTAAAATGGAATCACAAAGATATTTCGCCCCAGGAAGAAAATAGGCTTCAACAAAATAATTCAGCTCACGGGCTTCATACTTCCTCGACCTGCAATAAACACAGTAATTACAGACAATTGATAACGAAGATAAACTGCAATCACTAAAACAAGCCCAAGTAGATCATTATTGTTGCTATTTTTGGTGCACAATCCATATATAATGGAAAGTGAGGAGACATGTTTAAATGTTTTCAAAACCAATTCGAGAGACTCGCTGACATTCTGGCAAGTTCAAATGAGAAACGTTGCAAGCAATGAACAAGGTGTCCTGTTGTCCCAAGACTCCCAACCCCTCAATATTATGATCATAATTTTACAAAAGGACCCAATATAAGCATTGTGTTGTTGAGTCTAATTTTTCTGTCGCTTGAATTGAAGTAGTGGCATAAAATTACTAAAAACGGAAAATCTGACTATATATAACGGACAACTCAAAAATCTAAAATAGTATGTGTATTAGTTCTGAACGAAGGGAGTACAATTTAGGGTGACCGGTTTTTTTAGATGATTTTATGAGCATGGTACTGCTAAAACCTTTACTAATTCTCACTGAATTATTTCCTTGAGAGGCAATATACACAAAACTTGATCTTCACCCAACACCACACCCTCGAGGATAATAAATAAATAACTAAGGCTCAATATTACTAAGTCAAGCATCAGAATCATAAATAATTTTTTATTTCAAAAACATGGATTTTTACTGATCAACTTTGGTGGCTGATTTATATTTCATTAATGCTTTCCTAGTTTCCTGTATTGGAACTTGTATGATTGAAACACAAAAGCCGATTAGGCCACATGTGCACAGCAGAAATAAAACCATGTATTCTCACTCTTCAATCAAACACAACTGCACGCGACATACAAGTTTACTAAGAAAATAACAAACTAATGGATATAAGATTGGAAACCTGCACTGGCACAGCATGAAGGCAGAAATCAGCACCTTGCAGAGCAGATTTGGCATCAGTTGTGGCAACAAAATTTTCTGGTAGCTTATGATTTGGAAAGTATTTACTGCAATGAAACCATGAAAAGGTTAAATACAAAATATTCCTGTGGAGAGCCAAGTCTTTGAGCGAATCAAGCCAAGGCTTTACCAATTGAGATGGTTTCGATTAAAAGATTGACAAACATGAGGATCACGCACGAGCATACTGACTTCCATTTTTTCTTTTCTATTTGCAACATGAGCGGCCATAGCTGTACCAAATGAGCCACCTCCAAGCACCACTACCTATTAATAAGGCAATACTAAATTATAAGTTAAAAAGTATTCAAAAAAAATAAAATAAGTTAAAAAGGAATTACAACATAGATTGCAGGTGAGACCAAACAAATGAACATAGTTGACAAGAATCAACCACATATACGTAGTATAATTTTTTACATAATTTATAATTACCTCAGAAGCTACTTCAATGGAGCAGTGAAAACCCAGAAGCCGCTCCAATGCGAGTAATGTTGAAAAGTTATTTGTAGGCTTCCTCAACTCAAGAGAGATGGAGATGGCCTTCCTTAAAAGACCGAGAGTGATAAGTGATTTGGGTATTTTATACCCTGCCAAGTGGCCCAATCAGAGCATGACACCTATCACTGGAAGGGACCTTCCAGATGGTGACACATGTCACGCAGATATTGCCCCCTGGGAATGGCGGCTTTCAAGGCCCAAATCCCAAGGGGCCCTTAAAAAATGACGTGCCCTAATCCCTAGGTCACCAGATCCTAGGGAGGGCACACTTTCCAAAAGGACCCTATAAATAGGGACATTCTTACATTTATGACAAGACAGAGAAATACATACACAGAAAAAGAGAGAGAATATTCACGCACTACGAGACTATACGTCACTTACTACATAGTTGTCATTTTCAAAGAACAGACAACACTTTACCTGAGCTTGGAATCCAAGCAGATAACTTTACTTCCGCACGTTTTATTACCGAACGTTTACTAACTTAATCTTCGGAGGTAGACCACCGACCATTCGGCGGTTCATTTGCTTTGCAGGTACAGGCGTTCATTGTTGAATCCAGTTTCAGTGTTGTAACTCTCCTGAGAGACAAAAACCCCCGAAACATTTGGCGCCATCTGTGGGGAGAGTGCCTCTGAAATGGCTTCACAAGTACCTGTACCGAACCCAGAGGCCAATCGGCCTCCAGAAGACATAGTGGTCCAAACGGACCATGACTCAGGTGACGACGCTGACGTCGAAACCTATGTGGATCCAAATGGGTCCCTCATCTCTAAACGCATCCGTAGTAAGGAGAGGCGGGAGCGTCACCATGACCAAGCAGGGCCAAGCAGAACTGCTGGCCAGCCAAAGAAGCCCTCGGGGCGGCCAGTTGATCCTTCCCAGGCGGCAGGATCAACTCCCGTCACTCGAGATGAACTAATGACACTCCTGAGCAGCCTCGGGGGAGAAATCAAACAACTCGCCTCGAAGAAGTCGCCTACTCCTAGGAAGGAGCAATCGGCCAAGAAGCCAGCCCAGGCTAGCAAACAGAAGTCGGTCAGGGACCGTAAGCCGACTCCTCATCCTACCCCTACGGAGAAGGCCCGGCCCCAATTTGACCTTACTCGGCTCCGTTTCCCGGAAGCGAGCACAAGAAAAGCCATCCGGCACATACAGCCAAATGGTAGCAAGAAAACATCTCTGATGCTCGGCAATACAATGAGCAGAAGAGGACCCAGCTATCAGAGTCGGCTTCAACATCAACTTATCATGATAACTACCGGAACACCTCTGTGAGGTGTTCCCAGTATGTACATGAGACACCAGCTAGCAGCCCACGGGTTCAGTCTGGTCCTCATATGAATCAGTCGGCCTAGTACATGGCACAGCCAATGTACCAGGCGCCGATCTTACCTTACATGCAGCCTGCCCTCTTTGGAGGACAGGCGGCATACAGCTATCAGCCGATGGACTGGTAGCTTAGGCTGTAACACCTTGGGGATCAACCCTCTGCTTTCTCTAAGGAAATAACTGAAGCCGTACAGCCGGCTAAAGTTAAAAATGTTCTGGTTGGAGCCTATGACGGGACCTCCAACCCAGAAGACCACCTGCTAGCATACACCCACCTCATGTATCTACAGGGGTTGGATGATGCCGCATGGTGTCGTTGCTTTCCAGCCGCTGGGCTATGCCGGCTGGTTACATAAATAGCTTCAAGACGCTTGCGTTCTTGTTTGCTTCAAACTTCTCTATGAATATCCCTGCCAAAAAGACAAGTCTTGATTTAGGCAATGTTCAGCAGGGAGATAGAGAAGGTTTGTGTTCCTATGTCAGGCGGTTCAATCTGGTCCGAATCCAGATTCATAGGCTGTCTGATGAGGTCGCCTTCAAGACTTCTTCAAGGGTCTGAAGGATGGGTCTACTTTTAAGTATGAACTCGTCAGCAAACAAATCTTTACTCTGCAAGGAGCCTTGCGAGAGGCGGAAGCCTATATACAGGCGACCGAACACTGCTCCTCTTATAAGTAGACGGACCATAAGAAGTCTGACCGGCAGAAAGAGAGTCGGCCTGCTCAGCCGGCTCCTAAGCCAGAAGAGAGAAAAAAGAAAAAGCAAGTCTGGGCCATTGATAACTCTGATCAACCGGCCCACAAGAAGAAAAAAGAGTGCAAACCGTATGTCCCAAGGTACGAATTCCACAAGGACTGCTGCTCCATCCTCTTGGAAATTAAGGATCGGCTGACTCTTGAGAAGCCGACTCCTATGAAAGGTTCCCCTGAAAATCGGAACAAGAACAAGCATTGTCATTTCCATGAGGATGTTGGCCATGACACGAACGACTGCTTCAGTCTCAAGCAGGAGCTCGACCGTTTGGCCGACAAAGGACACCTGAAGTCCTATGTGAAGTCCAAAGTGACTTCAAAAGAAAATCCAGGGCAGTCCAAGAAAAAGACTCCCCAGCCTACTGTGAGTGCCGAAACTGATGAAGAACCGATATACACCATAGCAGGCGGCTTTGCAGGTGGTGGCCCGACCATTTGGGGCACCAAGGACCATCTAAGGAAGATGGTCAACTCTGTTGAGGAAGGGGATGCGCCAGGCACATCCGCCTTCCCTAAAGTTGTCATCACCGAGCGGGACAAAGGGAAAGTCCGTCGGCCGCATGATGATCCTGTTGTCATTGAATGCAAGGTTGCCAACCAGTTGACACGGGAAGCTCCTCTAACCTCATCAGCCCCAAATGCTTATCCAATCTCAAGTATAAACCGGATAGCATGATGGAGGTCTCCCACACCCTTGTTGGGTTTGGGGGACGACTTGTGCACCCAGTCGGACGCATTGACTTACCAGTCTGCCTGGGAAGCAGGGGAGACGGTCGGCACATGACCATCCGTTTCCTCGTGGTTGAAGAGCTCACAGCTTACAACCTCATCTTTGGCCGTCACACTCTTAACGAGTGTAAAGCCGTCATCATCCCTGTACTCATGCTACTCAAGTATGAGAAGGATGATGGAACAGTCGGTTCCCTTAATGGGGACCAAAAGACGGCTCGAGAGTGTTACCTCTCGGACGTCAAGCCTACGGCCGTAGCATCCGGTCGGGGCAAGCAAACAATCGACCTCGACGATGTCGAGGAAGAACAGTCGGCCCCACCAGCCGGAAAGAAAAGAAAAACTGATCCGCTGGTGGTGGTCAAAAAAGAAAAACAATAGCAATCACTGACCGGGGAACGGTCAGATGATCTCCGTCCCCAGCTTCTGGTGAGCACATCGATATCCCTCTGGACGACAGCCGCCCAGAGCGGACGGTTAAGGTGGGGACGGTTGCACTTGCAAGGCTGGGTGAAAGCCTTCATCAACTACTCAGAGAATTCAAAGACATCTTTGCCTTTGATGTGGAGGAGATGCCAGGCATCAGCCCGGATTTTGCTGTCCACAAACTCGTCGTGGATCCTAAAAAGAAGCCCATCCGGCAAAAGAAAAGAAACCATAGCGAGGAAAGAAGTCAGGCGGCAGCTGCCGAAGTAAAAAAGTTGCTGGATGCCAAGTTCATTCGGCCGTGCAATTTCCCTGAATGGGTAGCTAACGTTGTGTTAGTAAAAAAGCCGAATGGAACTTGGGGGATGTGTGTTGACTACACAGACCTCAACAAGGCATGTCCAAAGGATAGTTATCCATTGCCCAAGATCGACAGTCTGGTCAACTCAACAGCCGGACATGCCTTGATGAGCTTTATGGACGCCTATTCAGGTTTCCATCAGATCCCCCTGTGGAAAAAAGATCAAGAAAAGACGACATTCGTCACTGATCAGGGGTTGTTCTGTTATGCGGTGATGTCGTTTGGTTTGAAGAATGCGCCTGCAACTTTCCAACGAATGATTAATACGGTCTTCATTAATCAAATCGGAAGGAATGTAGAGGCGTACATTGATGACATGATAGTCAAATCCAAACAAAAGGCGGTTGCTGATCTCTGAGAAACATTCGCCACACTCAGGCGGCATAAGGTCATGCTAAACCCAAAAAAGTGTGTCTTTGGTGTTGAGTCTAGGAAGTTTCTCGGATTTTTGATTGACCAAAGGGGAATAGAGGCCAACCCTGAGAAAATACAGGCGGTAATCGACATGCAGTCGCCCCGTACTGTGAAGGAAGTGCAAAAGCTAACAGGTTGTCTGGCGGCCTTGGGGAGATTCCTCAGTCGGTAAGGCGAAAAGTGTCTCTACTTCTTCCAGGCAATAAAAAAGAAGACCAACTTTGAATGGGGGGATGATGCAGAGGCGGCCTTTCAAAGCTGAAAACTCATTTGCACTCTTTGCCAAGGCTTGTCAGCCCCTTGCCCAAAGAGAAGCTCTTCATGTACTTAGCCGTCTTTGACCATGCCCTTAGTGTGTCGTTCTCTTAGCTGAAAGAGACGGCACTCAGCTCCCGGTGTATTTCATTAGCCATGTTCTGAGGAACGCAGAGCTTCGGTACCCCATGGTTGAGAAATTCGGCTTTGCCCTATATATGGCCATCAAGAAGCTAAAACCCTACTTCTTGGCGTATGCGGTAGAAGTCTATACTGACCAACTGATCAAACGACCACTCACAACCATGGAGTCTTCTGGACGAATGATTAAATGGGCTATTGAAATGCAAGGATTAGAAATCACTTTCGAACCAAGGAAGGCAATAAAGGGGCAAGCATTCGCCGACTTTATTGTCGAAATGACAAGGCCGGCTGTACCGGACAATAAAGACCAGGTTTGGAAAGTGTATGTGGATGGGAGCTCCACTGTGAACGGATGTGGTACAGGGATTATCTGTCAATCTCCTGAGGGAGATAAGTACGAATACGCACTACGGTTTAAGTTCCAGGTCTCTAACAATAAGGCCGAGTATGAGGCCCTGCTGGCCGGCATTCGGTACTGCAAGGCGGTAGGCGGCAGGTCTTTAGCTGCCAAGGCTAGGCGGCTCTATTTCTGGCCAACTCTGGAGTCGGACGCTATGGAAATGGTTAAAAAATGTGACAAGTGTCAAAATTTTGGCAAGCTCATCCATCGTCCGGCCACGGACCTGACGACCATCCACAGCCCAATTCCCTTTGCCAAATAGGGCATGGACATACTTGGGCCTTACACCGCGGCCCCAGATGGCAAGCGCTACATATTGGTAGCTATGGATTACTTTACCAAGTGGGTAGAGGCGGAGGCGGTCAAAAACATTAAGACAAAAGATGTCATTTCCTTCATCTGGAGGAATATTATCACTCGTTTCGGGGTGCCCATGTCTATGGTTTTTGATAATGGTCCTCAATTTGAGACGCCTCAACTCAAGACTTGGCTGGGAGAGCAAGGGGTCTCAAGCCTCTTTGTATCAGTCGGCCGCCCTCAAGCAAACGGCCAGGTTGAAGCCTTCAATAAGCTAATCTCAGACGGGATTAAAAAGAAAATTGAACGGGCTGGTGGCCTTTGGGAGGATGAACTACCACACGTCCTCTGGTCCATCAGAACGACTGCTAAAGGGGCGACTGGAGAAACCCTGTTCCTCATGGTGTATGTTGCAGAAGCTGTCCTGCCCATTGAACACTATGAGCCGACTCTTCGAGTCATGTTATATGACGAAGAAGCTAACTGGGAGGCCATGCGGCTAGCATTGGACTCACTTCCAGAGCGAAGGGGCAATGCCACCTTCCGCCATGAGATTTACCGTCTGAGAATGACACGGGCTTACAACAAAAGAGTACACAAGCGTCTTCTCAAAGTGGGGGACTTTGTGCTACGGAAAATGGAGGCAATCGGTAGGGCGAATGAGCAGGGAAAGTTGACCCCAAATTAGGAAGGTCCCTACCGAATATATGAGGAAGTAAGAGACGGCACCTACCGTCTGGAAGAACCAGACGGCAGGCAGCTGCCTAGAACTTGGAATGTGGACAACTTGAAAAAGTATCATTTCTAAGTACAAATGTAAATACCTCAAATTTTGTCACTTCAAACTTTGCTAATGAGAATATGCCTTCATTTTTCAACTTGTCTTTTTATTTTTAATATCGCCTGTACAAAGTACAGACGGCCAATGTATTTGGGTAAAGTCTGTCCCAATAACAGACGCCCCAACCTTTATGAAGGAACCGACTACTCTAGAGCAGTCGTTCCTACGAAATTCTTACTGCATTATGTTAAACACTTAATTGTAGGGAATAGTTTCAAGCCTTTAAAATCCCACTAGCTTGAACCCCACTGTGATCATACACTAAAGTACGGTGGCGTCGGAAGAAGATAGAGCAAAAGAGTCGCCAACAAGTTTTTTAGGAACTTGTAAACCGTTCATAGGATGAAGGTTACACCCCTTAACGATCCAAGAGATCGTCAACTCCATAAGGTCATGAACCAAATAAGGGTCCGGGGATGAAGGTACAAATCCAACCTAAAAAAGATTGAACCTGCCCTAACAATAGGCCTTTACTTTATTCTTATCGTATTCATGTGCGCTTTCTGATTAACATGCAATCAATAGGTTAACCCTAAACCTGTTTAATCTATGTTGGTTGAATTTAATGCACAAATAAACTATTATTGGCGATCACTTGAATTGTAATCATAATTAACCCTAACAAGATTATTAATTATCTTATTAAGCGTGATTACAAGTACCAATTCCCTTTAAACATACAATAAAGGTGATCAAACAATAAAGAATAAAATAATACACATATCAAGCAACATAAATAAATAATCAACATCATTAATAATAATAATATCAATCATAATTATAATCATCATATTAATAATAATCATGTTAAAGCATAGCAAGATCCTAGGCATGATACTAACAAGATTAATAACAAACCCTAGCATGTCACTAAGCAATAAAAATCAAATCTTTAACCCTAACATGATACTAACAATCATAAATATTAGGAAGAATATAGGAAGCATCGTACTTTTAAATACTTAATATTAAAGTTACCCTAGACATGATACTAGGAATCAAAATAACAATCTAAGCATGATTTCTACATCATAATATCAATTAAACCATTAAAGTACTTACTTGGATGCCTCGTACCTCTTTTTAATAACAAAATACACACGTTAGTAACTTCAAGGAAAATAATAATCAAAACAATTAAATTAAATAATTGAAATAGAGATTTGGGACCAAACCCTCAGAAATTAAAACATTTCACGTCTAGGGAGAAGGCAACTTCGAATATGGCTAGGTGTATCTAGATCTTGTGAATGCGGAATTTTGTATGAAAAGGCAAGAAAGAATTGAATGCTAAAGAATTAATGTTTGTTGATGAAAGCTAATTAAAACTAACTGTTGATGAGAATTTGTGAATGAAGATGATGAATTGGTCCATGAAAACGGAGTTTTTAATACGATATTTATAGAGAAAATCAGCCAAAAAAGATAATTTAACAAAACAGAGTCTGAAGATCACAAAACTGCATTGGCGCCAACCCTGGCTAACTGGCGCCAGGCACCAGTGGCTAGCGCCAGGCGCCAATGGCTAGCGTCTGGCGCCAAGCCTGGTTCCAGGCACCAAGGCCTGGGGTTGGACGCCAGTCTTAATTCCAACGCGTTTTCGAAAATCTGATAAGTTTACCGTACTGGAAGATAAAATAATATAATTTCTTCGAAAATGCTATTTGATCTGAATTAAAACTCTGAAAAGTCCTACTCGAATTAGGAATGAAAAGAACCTTCTAGAAGATTCTAGAAGACTAAAACCATTCCTAATTGCATTAGGAATGATAAATCATATTAGGCCCTCCCCTAGATCATTGGGCCATACATAAAGCTCAAACCGGGCCCAGTTTAGTAAATTGGCCATAACTTCCTCAATATTCATCGGAATTGGGCTTATAATATATCGTTGGAAAGGTCTTTGCAAGCCCCATCCAACTACACCATTATTGGACCCATATCATGGACCAACCAAACTGGATTAGCTGTTTTCTTAAAATAAAGTTTTCAAAATCAGGGAGAAGAGAAAAGAAATAAAACTTTCCGCAACACCAGACTTTTCCACACTTTCGTTTCATTCGATTATGATTCGACGTGAAAGGTACTCATCACTGGGTTTGGTTTTGGGGAGACACAAATGGGTGTCTACATTAACGAATATTTGCTTAAATCATTTTGAGGCCAATGACCGGATATTAAGAAAAACGCATAGAAGCCGAATGGTCACAGTCTACTCCAATATGAGTATGACCGTCTGCTCCAACATGAGTCAGATAACCGGCAACGCCCATTCGGGCGAATTCGTCGAGGAGAAGCATCTCCCATTTGGGTGGCACTTGCTCTACAAATACATCAAGCGGCCCTACCAAATGCTAAGGCAGCATTTGAAGTCGTTTGTTTTAATCGAAAGTGAAATCCAAGAGGCCAAGAATTTTCTAACTGTTCTAGCACAGTCGGAATAGGGATCACTATTTCACAAGTAGAAACTATTGAGGCATTAGGTCAGATGCGCCTGTTTTTGCTCTAAGGCAGGACAGGCGGAAAACTTTTACTGACCTACAAGTCACCTAATGAGGCCTTTGGCCAGATACGCCTGTTTCTGTCCGGACGCAGAATAGGCGGACTATTACTTACGAGAAAACGAGCTAAAACACTTAGCATATTAAAACAGAGACTTGTGGGTCGAATGCGCCTGTTCTTTGCTCTTGGGGAAAGACAGACGGATTATTCTAAAGAAAAATCAAGACTAAGTTAAAACATAGCACCTTATCTCGTCAAGGCCTAAGGCCGAATGCGCCTGCTTTTAGTTCTTGGAACAAAACAGGCGAGGGATTTCTTTTTAGCCAAATTTTCTAAGTCAAAAATATTATATTTCGCCTGAGCCAATGGCTGAATGAAAATAATTATTCGTTCGCTCCTGATGGCTGTCTGTCGCATGGTTAGGGGCAATCACCATAGTGATTGATTGACTTAGAAACCATGTATACTCTTCTAAGTATCAATAATTTCTAAGCCAATCAATACACTCAACCGAAACCACTCGACATCCGTCCAGGGCAAGAACATTCGCATGCTATACAGGTTATAATACTTAGCCAAAAAACATGCAATGAAAAAATTTAAAGAACAGCAATATGAATAACTTCAGCCAATGGCCGAATGATTTAAAATTAAAAAGGCCCAATCGCCATCAGACGATTGGGTAAGATTGTTAGTTGGCAAAGCCAGGGGAATTGTCAAAATCACCCGACCCCTCGGTCGGTAAAGATACATGGATACTCAGCACGCAGGCCGGAAGATGAAATTAATGGCCATTCGGCTGCAGACATAACTACTAAAAAGCTTCAAGGGGCAGAGCGATTGCCAGCATTGGCAGCCGCATCATCAGTTGCCGGCTGCTCTTCATTGTCATCACCATCCTCTTCCCCGTCTTCATCCCCGGAGGAGCCTGAAGAGGAGTCGGCCTCTTCACCATCCGCATCCTCCTCGTCAGCCCGGCGAAGGAGTTCAGCATTGTAATCCTCGTTTGCCTGATCAAACTTGGATTTCCAGATGCCAAAATCAGCACCCGGCTGTACCGCCTCCAATATCGCCCGCATGATGGATTCGTAGTCTTCCATCATTTGTTGGACAAGGGCCTGTTTCTCCTCCTCAGCCTGGGACCCGAACTTGGCCTTCAGCTGCTGCTCCTGGTTCGCCAGGAGCCCCTCCAGGCGGCTCACCCGCTCCTTGGCCCTCTCGGCCTCATTCTTGGCCTCTTGAAGAGGCTCAAGTTTTTCCTTAAGGCCTTTAACTTCGGCCTTAAGTTCATTGACTTTGGAGCGGGCCGAATCCAGGTCCTTCTTCACCTGCAGGTTGGCGTCCACCTGGGAATACATCATATCAAGGGTCAGAAGCTCATTGTGAGCAATTTCAAATTAAGCTCGGTCTAAGGCGGAATCGGCTCGAGCTTTAGCGGCTGTTACCTCTTTTGATTTTTCCTAGATTGGTCGTTTGAGCCCTTGGACGCGCAGCATGGCCTGGAAATAAGAAAAGACCGAATGGTCAAAACCAATTGGATATGTGTTAAATATTATGGAAAATTTAGCTAACTCTTTTACCTCGCAGAGGTTCTTCAAGATGGCATCCAAGTTAAGGGTGCCGACTCCTCTTACGGACGCCCTGTCCTTAGGATCAAGCGACCGTAGCATCTCCTTGGCCATCTGGACAACGGTCAGCCTTTATGGGGGGGCTGCAAAATTATAAGTTAGTCAAGTTCAAAGAAGCAACATTAAGCATTGAAGTTTAATAAAAATGCGGCCCATACCGTCCGGTTGGGCCTCCTCCTCCTTCTCCTTCCCCTGACGTCTCTTTTCTCCTGCTGAGCCGACATCAGTGCTGGGTTGCTTAAAGCCACCCTTTGATGCCTGAATAGCATCCGGTTTGCTGACCTCCCTGCCAGCTTCGAGAGTAGAGTCGTCCCCTCTCTTGGACTTTTGAGTAATGTGTTTCCGGTGTTTGCTGACATCACCCTCTCTTGAATTTTGGGTTGGGATTGTTTGGAGGAAGAAGGCCTGACATAACCACTCTTTTTGGACGAAAAGAAAGGCGTCAGAAAAGCAGGCGGACAAAATTTAACCTTTGTTGAAAAATATTCCAAGTATCATAAACAGCTACCTTGGGAGTTCCGGCTGCTTTCTGCTGGTCATTCGCCCTGTTAAGGACGTTGGTGCGGTACTTTGCTACAGAGACGGCAGACGGCTTCTTTGTTGCCGAGAGTTTTTCCATTGCTTTGTCTGCACCAAAAAGAGGGAGTTAGGCTTATTAAGCATACACTGAAAACAATTTTAAGTTTACTTAAAGACAGACGACCGACTACCTCTCGGCATCTCAGAACTTAGACCACAAGCGGCCAAGAACACCCCATCTTCTAGCCATTTGTAAAGGGGAATGTAGCTCTGGGGGACGACTATTTTCTCCCCATGCTCGTTTGTCTGAACAGACACTGCAAACAGACCCCGGTCAAAAATTTCCTCCTGGGCCCGCCTAGGGAGAGGGGGCAAGGCACTCTTGCCAGCCAGAAGGGGCGGATCCTTGTTCCACCGATTGTATTTTTGGTTCAGTCGGCTTTCAGGGGAATGGACAATGTAGAACTTAGTTCTCCAGTCCTTCCATTTGTTCTCTTTGCCGACTGCCATCATGTACCCCTTGCAAGTGGTCAAGGTGTACCAGCCTTCGCCGCCCTTGGCAGGCGCTCGGCTGAGATAGTGCATGTGGGTGAATGTCTCAAAGCTGGGATCCATCTCCAGCATTTCACATGCGGCAACGTACCCGATGATATTTATCCATGAATTCAGGACAAGTTGCCAGATACCCAGTTGGTATCCATCCAGTATCCTCTCCACGACCGGATGGAGAGGGAAGCGTAAGCCGAAGGCTTTGTCCTTATAACTGGCCAGAGAGGGCCAGGTTATTGTATCCTCCTTGTTGGGGACGGATAAGAAGAAGCCATGTCCCATTACGACCTTGCGCCTGTAATTGGCAAGGCCGGATGTCATGGAGGCCCGCTTGCGCTGTGGGACATGGTGAAAATAGGGGGCGCGCTCCAAGCGCCTGGAAGCACTCGGCTCCGCCCAGCCTTCCCCCTTTTCTACTAACAAGGACTCCCTTGTAGTATCTATTTTTGCTCGGACCTCCTCTGACTCAACAGAGGCGCTATTAGAGGATGACGAGGCCAAATCGTCATCAGAACCTTCCCCAGAGCTAAGGGACTGCCGGCTAGGGCCAGCAGGGTCCTCCCCTAGACTCTCCTCAGGCGCCTGTTCTGAAGGCTCGGCCTGGTACTGACTGTCGGCTTCCCGCAGTATAGTATCATTGGGGGTGCCGCTTGAAGAAGAGGGAGAGTAATAGGTTGGAGTAGGGGGAAGGTCAGAAGAGGGGTTTGGGGACTGGCACCCTAATGGAGCCGCCTGAAGTTGGAGTCTCACTGTCCGAATGGTAAAAGGAACCATCCGGCCTATATCTCCTTGTTGTTTGCTTTATTCGAGCCATTGTGTCCTACAAATGCACAGACACTATCGGATTCGGAGATGCACTTAAAGGAAAGTTATCGAACGAGCATTCGGCACTCCTAGTTCTAGATTCAGCCGTCCCCGGTGACTGGCTGATCGCTAACCTAGGTCGTGCCGTGTACGTTTGGGAAACCATTTGAATAAACAAAAAACACAAGAAAAAAAAAGAAAAGAGCATGCGATTACCTTAGAAGAAGGTACTTGAGACGCCTGGTTGGCTGAAGCAGTCGGCAGGAAAGGCCGAGTGTCGGATGCTTGACAAAAGTCAAAGTTTTAAAAGTCTTTTAGAGTCAAAAGTCCAGAGATTCTCCAAGATTCGCAACGGTGTGAAAGCAAAAATGAAGTCAAACCTTCCTATTTATAGAAAGGGGAAACCCTAATTTTTCCCCCAAAATACAATTTGAAAATCCAGCCAGTCAGATGAAGACACCTGTCACAGGTGCCACGTGCAATACCGTGACCCCTGTGAGGGGCAAATAATTTGGGTATTTTATACCCTGCCAAGTGGCCCAATCAGAGCATGACACCTGTCACTGGAAGGGGCACCAATTGGACCTTCCAGATGGTGACACATGTCACGCAGATATTGCCCCCTGTGAATGGCGGCTTCAAGGCCCAAATCCCAAGGGGCGCTTAAAAAACGGCGTGCCCTAACCCCCAGGTCACCAGATCCTAGGGAGGGCACACTTTCCAAAAGGACCCTATAAATAGGGATATTCTTACATTTATGACAAGACAGAGAAATACATACACAGAAAAAGAGAGAGTATTCACGCACTACGAGACAATACGTCACTTACTATAGAGTTGTCATTTTCAAAGAACATACAGCACTTTACCTGTGCTTGGAATCCAAGCAGATAACTTTACTTCCGCACGTTTTATTACCGAACGTTTACTAGCTTAATCTTCGGAGGCGGACCACCGACCATTCGGCGGTCCGTTTGCTTTGCAGGTACAGGCGTCCATTGTTGAATCCGGTTTCAGTGTTGTAACTCTCCCGAGGGACAAAAACCCTCGAAACAATAAGGGTCTTCCGTACTGCTAAAAGGTTCAGGTTTCCTGAACTTGAGGGGTGAATTAGCATGGGTGCATGGATGTAGAGGTCATATTTGCAGCTACCTTATATTGCCCAGAAATCTGTCCATAAAAACAAAACTCAAGCCAATTACCAAATTCAAAGCTATCTAATTTCAACTAAAAACAAACAATAAAAACACAGAATTCAACATTATAACCCAAAAAAATCGAGAGTAAATCATTCAGATGCAAACGAAAAGATCAAAAACCACATTTCATCAGACTCTCCCAAAACATCAGATCCTAAAACATAAAAACTAATAATCTCAAGATCAAATTCCGATCCAAACAATTTAACCAGCTCCAAATTCAATCAATTAGAATCAATTTTAAACAATGAAAACAGAAGCGAAAACCCAAAATTGACTATACATAATTCAACAGTATAACCCAAATAACCGAGTATAAACCAATCAATCAAAAGAAAATGCGAAAATCAAAAGCCACATTTCACCAAAAACTCTCAAATCATCAAACCCTAAAACATAAAACCCAATAATTTCAAGATCAAATTCCCGATCCAACCAACATAACCATCTCCAAATCCAATAAAAATAAAATCAACAAAATTTAGAATCAATTTGAAACAGTCCAAACCTAAATTTAAAAATTAATATTCGATGATTAATTACAAAAAAAAAAAAGAAAATCTTACCTCTGAATTTGCTTCACTGGAGGAGAGAAAGGCCGAAAACCGCAATTAAAATCACCTCTGAATTTGCTTCAATGGAGGAGAAAGAACATTAGCCGCTTGGGAAACTGAGAGTATGCTTCAATGGAGTATATAAAAATCAGAATTTTACATACCCAGAATGCAAGCGAGCAAATCGATCAAGAGATCCGACATTAATTTTCGATCAGATTGAACCCTAAAATATTCAACCCACAAAAATTAATAAAATTGGAAGTAAATCTGATAATAATTCACAAAGAGTAAATCCGATTATAAAATGGAAAATTGATGATTGAAAATCAAAATCACATTACCTTGTAAGCTGTTTTTTTTTTTTTTTTTTTTTTTAATAGACCTCGTAAGCTGCTTCAGTAAAGGAGAAAGCTCTGAATTTGCTTTAATGGAGGAACGAAAAAGGCTCGCAAGCTGCTTCAATGGAGAAAAAAGATAAGAAAGTCACGTAGCTACAATTCAACGAAATCAATATTCAAACATGAAAATCGAAAATGAAAATTGGAAGAAACAACGAATTTAACAAAAGCTAAATCGAGCAGAAAATCAAAAGCAAAACTTATTGAAACAGATCAAAATTTTACAAGGATTACAATTCGTTAATTAAGAGAAAATCAAAGAACTCACCTTGAGGAAAGAGATTGAAATCTGAGGTAAAGTCTGAGAATCTGAGGTAAAGACTGAGGAGAGAGAGGAAAAGTAATCAACAGGTAACAAAACACCAGCTAAGCATTTTGGCAGAGAGTAAGGATGGGGAACAGATCACCAACAAGCAAAAAAGCAAAAGAAAAGGAGCAAACAGATCACCAGCTAGCTTAATAAGGGTAAAATAGTAATTGTACTTTTTAAGGGGTAAAATTGTCATCACACTATTACTAAGGATTTTTCAACTTGTAAACTTCTCACTTTTAATAGTTATAGATATTGCAGCTAGTAATGAGCTAAAACTAGAAGGAGTGGGATTGGGATATTAGTCATTTTTGCACTTCTTTTTGGTTTCTGTTGTGCTTTTGATGCAGGTTTTAGAAAGCTGGATTGCTATGACATCCTTAACTTGATTTAAAGTAGAGTTGCACTCCACATCTTTTTGGAGTGAAACTAACCTGTAATGACCAGCTTCTACTTGACATTGCTGTGCCTATACTGCGTATTCCTTTGATGTTAGTTGTATCATTGTATAGATTGACTTATTTACTTTAAATATATTTTCATTTACTTTAAAATTAATATTGATTTACTACAAATGTTTAATGTACTAGTTCAATTCTTTTTGTTGTCTCACTTTGCATGACTCATTTTCTTCGTTTAATATGCTTGGGGAAGTAGACTATTACTTGTTCTATATTGCTTTGATTTTCTTTGGGTGACAAGCTCTTGTTGTATATGCTTGCAAAGTTGTCCTAGGTAAAAATAAGGCCCTCCATATAATACCATTGAGCTTCAGACGACATTGAGGTCAAGTAACACAAATATAAAGCAAAAGAGCATTCTCCTTCATTGTTGCTATTGATTCTCAACATATTTTCTTGAATTTTGGCTTTAAATTCTCATGCAGGTCTTACATTATAATATCCCCCATACATATGCTTTATTTAAAAAAAAAATAAAAAAAAATAACTTTGGAGATTTTTTTTATTTACTTTTACGATTTTTTCATTTACTTTTAAGTTATTTTTCTTTACTTTCATTTTTAATATACAGTAACTACTAGCTCAATAGGCAGAGCATTGTGCAAATGCATAAAAGATGTGTGTTCGATTCCCATGTAGGTTTTATGTGTGTAATCTGAAAATTAGAATTTGTAATGTTTTATTAGAGTTCTTCTTCTTCTTTATTTTATTTTATTATTTTTTTGTTAACTTTTGATATAGTTTTATGTACTTTTAATTTGAAAAACACTGCATCAAATATATTGAACTCAATATATTTGTTTCTTATAGTTTAACTCATCTTGTAAGGATATGAAAGTCAATGACTTTGAGTTTTTGCGCTATAACAAAATTTTTTTAGTCATTTATCATTTCAAGATAATTTATAATTCATATACTTTAGAGCTGATTTGATTTACTTCAATGATTTTTATTTTTATTTACTTTATAGCACTATTTGTTTACTTTATAGTAACTATGATTTACTTTTGACATATATTAATGTAATATTTTTAGTTTTTCTACTTTTGAGATATTTTGAATATCTTTAGAGTGTTTGTAATTATTTTTTAAGATAACCTATGTAGGAATTGAACCTACACCTCTATGCATCTACATAGTGCTATACCACTTGAGCTAATAGGTTTACTTTAAAGTCTTTTTTATTCACTTTAGAGTCTTCTTTATTTACTTTTTCACATCAAAAACCACTTGAGCTAATCTGATGTGGTTGGATATAGTAAAGTGTATGGAACCTTAATCGGTCCTTGTTGATTTTAAGTATCTTGTAATTTTTCCTTTTTGTGATATTCTTTTCAATATCTGATAGCTTCATCTAAAATCTCTAGAATTGTACAGAAATTTGGCTTCTTTCATAAATACATACAAATTAAAAATAGAAGTGTATACCTGCAATTGGGCAGCTTGTGCTTTAAGTGCTGCCTTCTGTTTTTCTAATTCTTTTTCTTTTGCCTACAACAAGAAAAGTTATCATTGCAATTAGTGCCATGCCACAATTAAGGATCACAACTATAACTAATTTTTTTCATATGAAGGAAAAAGAGAGATTGAAAAAAAATCAACACTCAGCAACAGATATACAAACTCAAATGCCAAAGAAATGTGTAGGTGGATCCTATGTTGTTAGATTATCGTAGCCAATAGGCTAGCTATACCTTTGGTGTTTCTGACCCGTTGTTTATATTTGTTAACACCTATGGAACCGGAATTATTCCAGCTGATAAGGTGATCCTTATAATTGTGTTGGCGAACTTTTTTTTTAAGTAGTTGATTTACTTTTTAGTTATTTTAAATTACTTTTTAGCTACTTTAATTTACTTTTGATATATTTTTATTTACTTTAGTGTGTTTTTATATTTATTTTTAGAGATAACCTATGTAGGAATCGAACCTACACCTCTACCTCTATGCATCCGCATAGTGCTCAACCACTTGAGCTAATAGGTTTACTTTAAAGTCTTTTTTATTCACTTTAGACTCTTTTTAATTTACTTTAGAGACCACTTAGGATTATGATCGTTCTATGAAATTTGACAATTGCTAGTGGTAAGAAACAAGGTTTAAGGAAAAACTATGATCCAAATTAACAATAACAATATTACTCATACTAAACAATAGTCGTATACTGTGGTTGGTCTACCATGCCATATCATTGGATGGATGAAACCTGCATCAGACAAATGAAGAAGTCAAAACTTTTAATAGTATTACTTTAAAATATAATTTGTTTACTTATACTTGGTTTGTATCTACTTTTGAAATTCATAAAATTTACATTTATCTTGTAAATTAAAGTTGAGTTAGATGAATGGAAGATAAATATATCCTATAAATGTAGAGCATAATACTTTACAGGAAGGGATCAAAGTTTCCATTTCGTAACATAGTCTTCATCGAATATAACCTCTTCAGCTATCCTGTAAAACATAGAGAAACTTAGAGTCAACACCAACATACTATGTTATAACTCTTGAATACACTACTA